GTACAGGCCAGAGGCTCAGGGGCGGTGAGAGGCTTCACCAGAGACAGAGTGGGGGGTAGAACAGGCAGATCGACGAAGTACACTGCTGAGGGGAGCAGCGGGAGGGTCAGGAGAGGACTGCCACGCCATGTGGTCACCTCCGGGGCAGGCGGGAATCGAACTCATGCGGAAGCGGCTTTAGATTCTCAGTGCTGTGCTTTAACCCGCTGCACCACCAGGGAGGGCCTGCATAAATAAATCTTTTTTTAAAAAAAAATGTCAAATAGTGTTTACTTGATGATAAAGAACATGCTGGAGCAAAAGAGTTATTGCAACACAGTGCATCTCAAAGAATCAATTGTGCCTCAAATCTTGTATTCCCATTGACACTCTGTTCTTCCTCAATAAATTGGTCTTTGAGCTGTTTTCCTTAGTTGCACTTGCATTCTCTACCTATAAAGGAACTTGGCAGTCTAGGGTTAAAGTCTAACTGAGTTCATTTTCCCTAATAATCAGAAGCTCTAAAAGAATATAAATTCATGTCTGTGAATGTAGAGTAATAGCCTCCTTCTGAGAGCTTGGAAATTAGATGTGACAAGTGCCTAAACTCAAATGCCACTTTTTTTTCCTATCTTACTACCATGACAGGGTGAGCAGAGTTAGCCTGCTAATGGACATCTCATCTATAAGCATTAATTCAGTGCTTCTCAAAGTTTCATGCATGCACCATTTGTAGTTCTGTACATGACGTTAGGTGATATAGGAACTAACATATTTATTGCAATGTGTTTGATTTTATAGCTAAAATTACTGTAGGAGAAAATTAAGAAAAAAGACAGAGTCAACTAAACTATATTATGAGGCAAGTTAGTTATCACTAGGATAATGCTGCATAACAAACCACCTTCAATTTCAAGGGCTTAGAACAACAATTATCAGTGCTTTTGTTCATGCATTTAGCCTGGTCCAAGAAGCATGCATGCCAGATTGTTAGTTGAGTCCATATCTTGTTCTTGGATCAACTGCTCCCTAAAGCATGTTTTTTTTGGGGGGGTAAAAAGATGGAGCAGAAGAGGGCAACCCCCAACTGTACAAATGCATTTTGAACATGTGTTAGATTCACTTCTGCTAATATCCACTGACCACGGAAGTTTCCATGACCAAGGTCAAGGCCAAGGGAAAGTGAAGCAGATTCTTATGGAGTGACAGGTAGGGCACGAACTTTTCTAAACAATTACGTAATCCATTGCATTAAGAGTAAAGTTGAAACACAGATATGGCAAAAATCATCAAAGCAGTTCAAGAATGTATGCTGTAGATGGCCAGCAGGCATATGAAAAAATGTTCAACATCACTCATAATAAGGGAGATGCAAATTAAAACCACAATGAGATACCACCTCACCCCAGTGAGAATGGCACATCTTCAAACAACTAGCAACAACAAATGTTGGCGAGGATGTGAAGAAAAAGGAACTCTCCTGCACTGCTGGTGGGAATGCAAACTAGAACAACCACTACGGAAAACTGTTTGGAGGTTCCTCAAACTGCTAAACATGGAGCTTCCCTACGACCCAGCAATCCCACTCCTAGGTATCTACCCAAAAGACACAAAAACACTAATTGAAAAAGATACCTGTACCCCCATGTGTATTGCTGCTTTATTTACAATTGGAAAAACATGGAAGCAGCCCAAATGCCCAAAAGTAGATGACTGGATTAGAAAGATGTGGTACATATATACAATGGAATATTACTCAGCAACCAAAAAAGAGAAACACATGTCTTTTGCAGCAACTTGGATGGAGCTGGAAAAGATCATGCTTAGTGAGATAAGCCAGAAAGAGAAAGAAAAATACCGGATGGTTTCACTCATAGCAGGAGTATAATGGACCAGACGAGAAAATAACAAAAATAATGAACAACCATATACCAGAGACATTTTGTGGGGGTGGAGTGGGGAATGGGATCAAAAACGGGGGGCGGGGGAGGGAAATGCACGGGACTATGGTGGTGGCACATGGGTGATTTGGTGATGGAAAACCCGCGGGGATTACAATCGAGATGGAAAAAAAAATGTGCAAAATGATGTAAAAATAAACTTTTGTAATAATTAAAAAAAAAAAGAATGTATGTTGTGTGTCAACAGTGCTTAAAGTTAATCCAAACAGTGCTGTTTGACATAGTTGTTCCAACGCCTAGGCAGCTATATGTGCTGAGAAATAATGTGCATTTCTATTGTTACATGAGGCTTATTGTTAATCAAATCTCAGAAGAAAAACTTAGATCGTTCAATATCTTCCCATATCTACATATTTAAAAATCTAATTAACTGCATTCTACATACATCATGCTCTCTTTTCTTTGTGATGAGACCTGCCTCATTTATTAATTTTTATGTAATGCAGCTGACCTACAAAGGTTACCACAATCAAGGCTTTTAGAAGGACAGTTGCAGTTGGTAATTGAAAATGGAAATGTTACTGAATGTCCCAGATTCATTCTATTTCAACATCTTTTATCTCCTGTTAGGTGCCCTATATGTACCTGTTTGTGTTCCAAAAAGCAGCAATCAAAATTGGGGGGGTAGGGACAGGAAAACTGAAATAAATAGACTGTAAAAGGCAATTTTTGTTTTCATCAGATTCCTTTGTCTAAATAAAATGGACTCATTTCTCTGGGGCATTCAATTGCATTGCCCAGCAGGGAAGAAGCCATTTGGATAATACCTGTTCCACATGTATGTCAGAGTAACAACTGTCTATCATTCCCCTCTCTGTCAAATGTAGCACATACACATGCACATACACCTGTCACACAGGCACACATGTCAATTACTTTCATGTCCTTGAAAGGCTTGGGAGCCTGTGACCTTTTTTTTCAATAACATTATCCTTTTCTTGGCTTCTCTCATCTATTCTCATATCATCGGTGCTAATTATAGGTTGACATCATGCAAATACCCAAATAATTGTGTCTAATTCACAATATTCTCCTTCAGCACTGAATGTGAAGGCCTGGCAGTCAGCGCCACTAAATCGGTACTGCACACACTACAGATCTCAAATGGGGAACTTTTTTTTCTCTCCCCAACTCTGCTTGTTTGATATGTCTTCAGATATTGACCTCCAACCATTTACCCTTCCAGGTTCAAAATCTGGTCACTTTTGAGTCATTCTTTTTTTTTTTTTTTCTCAATAAATATGCTGAGAAATATGGTCCATTGAATTCAGGGCCTTTACCTGACCCCTCATCAATATTCCATACTCTTCCATCTTTCCATACCTTCCTGTCTAGATTAGATTGTATGGTCTCTGTTATGAATGCCTGGAAAAAAGGATTTCTTTCTAAAAAATTTTATCAGGTGTAACTGATGTATAATCTTGCATTAGTTTTGGTTGTGAAAAGTAATGATTCAATATTTGCATATATTAGGAAATGATCCTGATAATGGTCTAGTTAACATCTGTAATTGCCTCCATACAGTTTTTTTTTTCTTATGATGAAAATTTTAAGAAATAATTTCTTAGCAACTTTCAAATATACAATGAAATATTATCAACTGTAGTCACCATATTTCTCAAACTATATTTCTTGATTGTCAGCTTCAATAAATTATTATCAGAGTACATTTTCTGTCTTGGAAGATATAATCCTTTGGTGAGATTATACTGGATCTTTGCCAGTTTTCTTTCACCGTCACCAACATGCACTCCAAGTTTAACACATAACAATAAATACTCAAGTAATGAAAATCTTCTGTTTTAAAAAAGTATCGAAACATTAAATAAACATTTTGCAATTACTTTCTGTATCTGTATTTCAATTTGTAAATTCCCTGGCTCTTTAAGTTGTGAAAACATAATGGAAATTTACCTAAGAAATAAGATTTTTGTCCTATTGACTTTTCGAAAATATCTCACAATAAGTAAACCAATTTCCTTACTAATACATTTAGGAATTTTATTCTGCTTCAGTTTCAGTTAATGGATATTGCATTCTCTGAAGCTGTGCAAATAGTGTACAATTGTTAGGGGAAAGGATGCCCTAAACAAACTCTATAGATGCAGGTTTTGTGGACTCTGCCCCCACCCCAAACACTGTAACTACAAAGGATTGCTGGGACTTGAAGGTAGAGTTAAGCCGCCAGGTTTGAAATAAAACCAGACGTGTGGGCCTTTGGCGGTCTCTTGGCCTTGGCTTTTGGCTTGTCTCCTGGGTTTTCACCAGTTGTCAGCATGCTATTAGGGTTCCACCTCGGAGGAACTGATAGGACACATTAACCAACTTATCTCTCTCTCTTTTTCCTTGAGTTACTCATTTCCCTTTCTTTTGTAGGTAAGCTCAGTATTAATATTTTTGTGTATGCCTGCAGTTAAATCTCAATTATAAGTCCCTTTAAGCACACAGGTCAGGACTCACAGTCAGGCAACCCAGTTCACATTGGAGTTGCCTATAACGCAATCACAATGGAAATTCACTAAAGATAGGATTCTGAACAATCCAAAATAACAGCGTTTGAGATAGTCTCCTAGGGAAGCAAGTAAGTTATTCTTTTTGTGTTTCAACCAAAAATTTCACTTCCAGAAAAATAAGTTTCTCCATTTTTCAGGCTGCATATGCCTGAAATAGGTTTTCTTTTTTCACTCTACAGAGGTTAAGCTCTGTAAGCACGCACACACATAGCAAGCAAACATACAAATTTCTCAAATTTAAATTGTAGGTTATTCTGATTAAGCCAAGTTTCCCTGCTTTCATGCTACCAGATTTCTAATTTGAGAAATTGTGTATGTATGTATGTATGTGATTATCTCAGAAATTAAAGAGAATTTGGAATATGACAGCACGAAAGTATTCAAGCAGTTTTACTCTCTATTTCCTCCTTTAAATTTCTCTGCAAAAGAAGTTGAATCCCAGGAGTATTTTTACATTTAGGAGAGCAATGGAGGGTAACACAACAATTGACATCAGGCTTGTATAATTCTCAGTTAATCAAGGACTATCTTCTTTGAACTTTTTCAGCTGAAGGAGAGGTCACATCTAAAGTTCCTGTGAAAAGTGAAGGCTCTGGCGACACAGAAATCTCTACAAGTCCTGACAGTAAGTCTCTGAGCTATTTGAACTCATACAAAGTATAGACGGTGAATATTTCTGTATGTAATCTAAGATTAAGGGAGCTCTCTAGTCTGTAAATCAACATATTGAGTTAGAACAAGGTAAAGTTCAAAAACTATTTTCTACTACAAACTAAGAAAATTGCCTGCCTTTAACAAAACTACTGACACTTGTTTAAAATAGCATTGCCTCAAGTTAATCATACCTTACAATTCTAAGGTCACAGTGGCTAATTCCAAGGCTAAGCTATACTGAAGTCTAGCTGGCAAACTTTGCAGAAATATCTTTCCTTACTTCAAGAAACATCCTTGCCAAACTTTTCCCTGAACAATTCAAGCATTCAAGGCAGCTCTGGATTGAGTTTGGGAGAAGTTTGTCCTTGGAACTTCATCACTTCACCTCATTGTGTCACATGGATGGCCAAGAACAGCATTTAAGAGCACCTTGGAAATAAGTTAATAAACCTTCCTTTATTCACATCTCATTTTGAAGATATCTAAAGATTCTAAGCATCAGGAATATGAATATGCCCTTGCCCAACAATTTTGAAAACTCTTTGAAATAGCATTGCTTATATTAGAAAAACAACTATTTGGGCACATATGATATAATAAAGATTTTTTTTCCTCTGACCACAGAGCTAATGATCTTGGAAAAATTTACCTGCTCCTGGAAGTTCCCTGGTGGCTTTAAGTAGTTCCCTCACAACAGATATTCTGCCCTGTTATAGGCTTATCATCACCTGAATTGCCTTCCTTAATTAGAAGCCATTCTGTACCAACTTTCACTTTTACTCCAGGGAGGGCTTATTAAGAAGAAGAATGTTTTTAAAATCCCAGGTCCTTCCATTAAAAGCTACCTCATATTATTCATGGTTATTTGTATTCAACCTGCCACAGCCTGCTGTGACAATATAGACACAATTGTTAACTGTTCTTCAGCATTTCTGAAGAATATGAGGCCCATCTGATGTCCATTGAATAAAAAGAAAATAAATGTACAAAACACTAGTTTTAGTGAGATTCACCATGCCTGCCACTAGCATGAGACTCAGAAGTCTCAGCAGTAATTTATTATTGACCTGGCTTCATGTTGCTGTTCCCAAACTTATTTGATCATGAGATGCTTTTTTATAGGAACATTTATTACTAGACTTTGGAACTTGTAACATTTGGATTGGAGGAAGAAATAGAATAGGAATGTTCTCCTGTAGTTTACCCTTCATACCCCCACACTGATTTGTGTGAACTTTTAACCACCTTATAGCTCACGATGGAAAGTGTAAGCATTATCATCTTTATATAGGTAGAGTTGCTGCTTCTGATCACTTTATACCAGGAATTTACATGTTGCTCACAGGTCATTAGAATCCCAGGATAGTTTGCCAGTGAGAACAAAGTGATCTAGTTTTTAAATCTTCCTCCTTGAGAAAGAGCTGGGTGGGTGCCCTAAAAAGCCATTCTTTCTTTGAAGGCTCTTTGGTATGAAAACCAGTATCTGTCACTATTTTATTTTAGTCAAGCTTTTGTGTTCAAGGAAAACATAGTTGGGTTGTTGAATTTTTGCAAATAAGTTATAGTTACTCAAATGAGAATTGAGGTTACTGATTCAAAGCTTATTCTAGAGAGGGTGTGAGTCATTGTCACTTGTGTTTGACCAACTCAAAAAAACAGGTAAGAAAGTTGGTGATGGGCCCTCCCTGGTGGCGCAGCGGGTTAAAGCCCAGCACTGAGAAGCTAAAGCCATCTGCATGAGTTCAATTCCCACCTGCCCCAGAGGTGACCACATGGCGTGGCAGACCTTTCCTGACCTGCCCGCTGTACCTTCGTCGATCTGCCTGTTCTACTCCCCACTCTGTCTCTGGTGAAGCCTCTCGCCACCCCTGAACCTCTGGCCTGTACCCCAGTTCTGTATGCACAAATAAATAAATCTTAAAAAAAAAAAAAGTTCGTGAAAGTCATACTTAACAGAAGATAATACTTCAAGCTTCCTGTGATGGGGGGCTTGTGGACATAAAGAAGCTAGATTTGGGTTACCTAGAATTGGGTGATTTGACTGGGGACTTATTTGGCTTTCCCTGGTGGGTCCTCCTCCGTGGAAGTTTGGGAAAATCTGGGTACGCTGGCAGTCACTGCCCAAGACCCAACATCCTGAACTGTTTGCTGCACAGATTATATTTGGTTGCCTGGACCGGTTACTACAGAGGTTTTAAGTCAGTTCTGTTGTTGCATATGGTCTGGCCATTGTCCATTTGTACATTAATTCTTTCAATTTACAATATGGCATCAACATTAAGGCATCAATTTTTATGCCTTAAAATATCAACCTAATTAAAGCTACTGACCCTTGCAAATTTCCAGAGTGATAGCTGTGCTTGCTACAGGCTACTTCCAGACAATGGAACTAATTATGTATTCTATTTTTAATACAAATGCTCACATAGGACAATTTCTCAGTAAAGTATAAGCATACATTTGATTATTGTTGTTTGATCTGTTTAGATACTTTGTTTTTTATTTCATGGTGTCCAGCAGGGTTGCACACATTTGCAAGTTTACAGGGTCTGTTTTGAATTTCAAAACTGAAAGACAGCAAACCAAACAAGCCTATTGACACTCTTAGAAAATTTGCTTAACTCCTTGCATATCAATGATCTGTTTTGTTTGTTTACTTTCTATTTTCTTAGACATCTTTTAAAGTTTTTGAATTTACTTAAGGATGGTAATAAATACACCTAAATGTCAACCCCAAAATCTGATATGAAATAACTCAGTTTCTACAGTGTAGTCATGAATTAATTCTGCACTCTGTATACCTTCACCCTGCTTAAAACCCTCAATATTGGTCCACAAATATTAGATGAACAAAAATGAACTTAAAAAAAAATGGAAGATAGGAAATAGGGAAATGTTTATTTACAAGCCATTTTAATGTATTTAAGAGAAATGGGCTTAATAGCTAACCTTTTTTGTTTTCCTTTCTGGTTACAGTTGAAATGAATAGTCAGGTTGACAGCGTAAATGACCCAACAGAGAATCAGCAAGAAGATTAACTACTAGGTAAGTGGCCCCTATGGTGGATTTACAATTGATTAAACTGGCCATAGAACTGTTTGTAAATGGCATATTGGATTTCCCTGGGTTCTGCCAAGTCCCACAGCATGGCATAAGCGAAACTTTAAAACTTTTTATACCAAATAATACCCAATAAGGTGAAAGGATTACCCCTAGAATCTTACCATCTTTAAGGAACAAAGGTAAGCCCCAGCACATCCAAATCAGAGTACCCTGGTTTTTGGAGCTTAGACATTAAAAACAAAAAAACAAAACAAAACAAAAATATATTCTATCTATTTCACTCGCTGGCCTCCTGAAGTGATCAAATTATTTTAGCAATCTAAACTGATTCTGAAGCATTGCTTTTCCAGAAGCTACCTACTGGGTTGTTTAAGTATATCTGTTTTTAATCATAACACTAAATCTTTGGCCTAAAGAATGTGTAAAGGCACTTGAGTGTATTTGGGCTGCAGTTGTCTGCCCTGTGACCACCTGTGGACCTGAGTGTCTACACAAAGATATGCTGAGTTGACTGCACCTCAGGGAATAGCACAGAAAAATAACAGCACGGACAGACCACATTTTGGAGCTTTTCCTCACTGACATTCTAGACATCTCAGCAAAAAATAAAATCTATCTAGAATGGTGACTGATGGGTAGTCCTTTCCCATATCTTGATAGCTGGTGAGAATTACACAGAAGTCAGTCTTACTAGTCTTATTCCTGATTTACAATATTGAAATGCGAAGTAAATACCTGTGGATTAAACGAGTTGTGGGTACATCATGTAAAAAACAGAAGTGTTGATACTGATGCTGCTACACCCCAGCTCCTGCCTGGATCCCTGCCTCTTCTCCTTCTCACCATGTTGCATACTCCTGCATCACAGCAGATTAAAGCTTGATAATGTGCTTAAAATATGAATCTAGTCTTTCCATAGCAATTTTGAGCATCATTTAACACTAAATAACAATAGCATTTGTGTAATACATGAATACTGTAAGACTTCAAAAAATATACTCATCCCAACATAGTTTTATAACCTTTTCTTCTTTTTACTTAAACTTGTTCTCATATTTAAGATGATCTTGCTAAGCTGCAGAAATGATATAGTAGAGAAGTTTCCAATAGAAAGTAATGAAGAGACTAAACCTAAACAGCTTAAATGCAAGTTGCTCAGTGCTATCTTACCTTTTGCTCTTTTGTTGTCCATAGACTATACAGTTTTGATCTACATTTCTTCTTGTAGATATTATTTTTCTTGTATGATAAATATCCATGGAAAATATAAGTCTTTTTTCCTTAATGCCAAATTATTTTCCTTGACTATAAACACAAATTTATTGTTACCCAATAAATTGTCAAATCTTGAAGTTCAAAATTAAAGACTCAATTCCAAGAAAGAAAGGACTTCACAGTGAAACTTGATTTATCAATCATAATTCATTAATATTCCTACTTTAAAATTCTTCGATGACACCATACCACTCCCTAAGCAATAGTGATTTCCTAAATATAGTGACTACAATAGAGAACAGTATGGCCCAAGAAATGTCAATGAGTCCAACAGAAATATTTGTACAGATTATATGGTAATTCCATGCGTCCTGTCTTCTAGGAAATTAAATAAAGTAAAATGAAATTGAAATTATAGAGTAGAAAGGCAAAACATGAGAAGATGTATTGTTGAAAGTCTAGTAAGATGGCTGTAGAATGAAGGCAAGCAAGGTTTATCTCCTCAACAATTACCAACAAATTATACCTAAATGAAGACAATGACCCCCAAGTAACAAAGAAATGACTATTGTATAAATGAAGAACAATGGCCAATGAGAAGAGAAAACCATAAGTGAAACTGTATTTGAGTTAATAGCAGGGCATCAACTCCCATGGGCATCATGCCCTCCCATGAGAGGAAGGCAACAGACATATGGAACCCCTCTGCTGTTGTTCACTCAAGGACATTGGAGACTTTAAAACCCAAGGACTACACTGGAGGAAAGAGTGCACACAACCAGGACGCTGGTCAGAGGGAGCACCATTTAAAAACTATAGGAGCAGGGGTACAACTGGTAATTGTCAATTTGAGTCTGTACCTTCCAAAAGAGAGTAGAGGAAACTAGATGAGACCCTGTACCTCCCTAGGCTGTTATTTTCCACTAAGGCTGTGATATGCGAAACACCTTCCTTACATCTGCCCAGGGAGGCCAAGGTCAAGATTTAAATCACATTCTGTTATTGACCAGAATTTGAAGCACTTGCATATGAACAGCAAGAAGAGAGCACCTCACTGATAAGGCTGCATACATAAAAGGCAAAGAGAACAAGTCCTGCTTGTAACCCTGTCTGAATTATCATCCCCACACAGAGTAAGTCTATTGTCCAGCTACAGTGTAGAGATTGAGACTGGTGAAAAGTTTGTTGCAATATTGTATTTGAGTAGTTGGCCTAGAGCAGAGGGTCACTGTGGATCTCCGCTACACAAATCAGGTACTCACAGCTTTACAGGACATTTGAAAATACACTGCTCACTCGGAATGAGCTGCAGTGCCCCTGACTATGCCAGTGTCTGGCACTGGTCTGTGATGTAACAAACACCTAAAGATTCTAAAAAAACAAAAACAAAAACAAAAAAACCTACAATTATTATCTAGCTACTGATAAGAAGGATATAAAGTTAGTTTATCAAGACAAAAAAAAAGGGAACAATCTCTCTGCTGGATTTTTACATGTAATTTAAACAGGATCTGCATAAGTTCTTCATAATTCAGTGGGATTTGCTTATAAAATCATCTGTCGCTGGGTATTCATTTTCAGGGGGAATTTTTAGAACTATTTCATCTCCTCAGTTGTGATTAGTTCACAATCATGCTCCCTATTACAATTCAGAAAAACTAAAGATGAAGATATAGGAGCATACCAAAAATGCTGAACAGCAGCAGCAGCAGCAACAAAAACACAAGTGGAGTGTAAGCCCCTCAAAACTGAAGAATCAGATAAGGAATTTAAGGTAACAATCAAAACTATGCTCATTTAATTTAAAACAACAGATGATTAGAATAAATAAACTGATAAAATATAAGACTGCCACAAATAGTATCCGTGGATATAAAAAAATTCTGTAAGTGAATTAAATATACATAATACAAAGGGTCATAATTACTATTACTATACACTAATAAATTCAGTACTTTTTAAGAAATGGACACATTTCTAAAATAATACAGTTTAGTACAAGACTAAACCAAGAAGAAATAGAAGAGTTGAATGAACTAATCACAACCACGGAGATGCAAAAGTTATAAAAATTCCCTCTGAAAATGAATACACAGGGAGAAATGACCTTACAAGCAAATTCTGCTGAATTTATGAAGAACTTATGCCCATCCTGTTTAAATTACATGTAAAAATCAAAACAGAGTGTATGTTCCCTAAAACATTTTATGATACCATTCCTCTAACAGCAGAACAAGAAAATGATAGCACAAAAAAACTACAGGCCACTAGCTTTGATGAATATCAATGTGAAAACTTTCAGTAAACCTTCAATGAAATACTAGCAATCAAATTCAGCAATACATTACAAAGATTGTACATCATGATTAAGTGAAATTTATCCCAGGGATGCAACAATGGCTTCATAGCATAAATCAATCAAGATGATATATTTTACCACAACAAAAATGTATTTGATAATATTAATATCTGTGGGAAAGCATTTGATAAGATTCAGCACCCATTTATGATTAAAATCTCCAAATAAATTGGGAATAAAAGAAACCCACCTCAACTTGCTAAAGGTGATATCTCACATGCTTATAGCCAATATAACACTTAATCGTGAAAAACTGAAAGAATTCACTTTAAGAACAGGATCAAGACAAGGACACCCTCCATCACCATTTCTGTTTATCTCAGTATTACAGATTTTAACTAGGGTAATCAGGCAATGGAATAAAAATAATCCCAGTTAGAAAAGATGTAAAACTGTCATTTCAGACTAAAGAATACTATAGAAGGAAAATCCTAAATATTCCACCAAAAATTAGGTTTTAAAGTCAACATACAAAATTCTGTTGCAAGTTTAAGTCCAAACAGTGATGAAAAGGATAAGAAACTAATAATTCCATTTGCAAATGTGTCCAGAAAACCTGTACATATATAGAAAAGTGTTCAAAATCACAATAGCACAAATAGCAAGAGAGATGCAGATCAAAACCGCATGAGGTTCTATCTCAGTCCTAAGAGGACAGATATCAAATAACCACCAACAGAAAGTGCTAAAGAAGGCGTAGAGAAAGAGAAATTATAATATATTTTGGGGGGAAATATTATATGACCCTGAAATCCCACTTTTGAACATTTTCCCCAATCGATCTGCCTGTTCTGCTCCCCACTCTATCTCTGGTGAATCTTCTCAGTACCCCTGCACCTCTGGCCTATACCCCAGTTTTATATGCATAAACCATCAACTGCATGAAACCATCAACTCAAAAAGTGATATGCACTACAGTATTTATGGCAGCATTATTTTCAAAAGCTGGCATATGAAAACAGCCTAAGAGCCCACAGATGGAACACTGTATGTGGTGTAACTAAGCAATGAAATATTATTCAGCCACAAGCAAGGACAAAATGTTACCATTTACAGCAAAACAGAAGGAATTTGAGGAATTTTTGTGGAGTAAAGTCAGAATGATAACAGTAAATGTTAGTAATTTACATAACAAATTATTTGACAAAACAACATACTTGTTAAAAACTACTAGACACAAAGTGGGGTTTCTGAAATTAAGACAAAGAGGAGGGGAAGGAAGAATCAAAGGGACTTAAGGGGTAGGAGTAGGGGAAAAATATATTTAAAAAATCAACTTGGGCCCTCCCTGGTGGTGCAACAGGTTAGGATGCAGTATTGCAAGCTGGCCACAGCCACTTCAGTGCAGGTTCGATCCCCAGCCCCGCAGATGACCACATGGCGTGGCAGACCTCTCCTGACCCTCCCGCTGCTCTCCTCAGCAGTGTCCTTCATCGATCTGCCTGTTCTGCTCCCCACTCTATCTCTGGTGAATCTTCTCAGTACCCCTGCACCTCTGGCCTATACCCCAGTTTTATATGCATAAATAAATCTTTAAAAAAAAAATCAACTGATATGCTGCTAGCCTGTTGTAGTTAAAGTCATGCATGGGAGCTTTCAATCAACAATTTTGAAAAGACTAGTATTGTGTAATTTATAATTGTGAAAAGTAGAATAGCATAAATGACGAGGGGAATAATTTAATGAGTCAGTAGAGCATTTTGTACTTGGAGCACATAGCTTTGATTCTAGAGAAACATGGCAGGTTCACTGTGGCATCTAGTTGGCTTTGTGAGTCTTGTAACTTCAGTTTTCACATCTTAAAATGCTTGTTCTTGTAAGAATCCAATCACCTTTTAAGATGCTCAGGCCATACTGTACAATTGGGAGGAAAAGGGACATAGAAAGAACCTTAGAATCAGAAAAGTTGTTTTGGATTTTCTAGCCACATCAAACACTACCTGGTGCAGATGAACTGCCTGACTAGTTAAAGAATCATGAGAAATAATAAATCACTTTCTAGTCACTAAGCTTTAAGGTGATTTATTGTACAGCATTAGGTGGCTGAAATAGTGGGGTTGTGCAGAACCCCTCCAAATATAACTGCTTAGAAATAAGAGGTAATTGAAATATATAGCTCAGCCTACAAGAAAGCAAAGGTGTCAGAAGTGAAGAGGAATTTGAAAGCCAAAGCAACTGTCTGGTTAACTGAAAAATGTGACAGTCCTCAAGAACTACAAATTGGTTGTTGCTTCAAAGATAGCAACTATGGACGTAGGTTCAAATGTTCACCCAGAACCTTGAACCACTCAGGGTAAAGATTTGGAAATGAGACTTCTACATAGGTCAGTTTGGAACTACTAGCTCAAGAAATTACAAGGATACTTGTCTTCTCAGAGTACTCATAGGGAAATAAAATACATTCTATGATAAATACAAGCCACAAGTGCACCATGAGTTGGAAATATAAATTTGCCATCCAAAGACATAATACACAAGCAGAGAAATGTGAAGCTATCAATTAAATTTCCTAGAGAAGAGAAAAAGAATTCTAAAGTTTATGATTTTCAGACTTGCAAAACACTAATGGAAATGTTCCAACATTAATGAGAAACTGAATAAAACCACAAGATACTTTTCAATATGAGAAATTGCAAGTATGAAATTTTAAAGATTTTAAAGGTAAATGTTTAATTGACAATAAAAAGATTAAAAGCAGATATACATCTGCAAGAAATGAAAAACATTATGAAATATTGATAACAATAAGAAAAAAATCAAGTACAAATATAATAATATGAAAGAAATGAGAAACAAAGGACAGAAGAATAACCAGGATATCTGTGTTCAATAAGTGTGCTTAAAGGAGATAGTATATGGCATTTGAAAGATAATGGCTGAGAATTTATCAGAGTAAAAGTCATGAATTTTAAGTTAAAAGAAGACTAAGAAGTCATAAGAAGGACTTATGCTGAAAATAAATCCACATAGGCATTGTAGAATACCAAAGACAAAGAGAAAAAGAAAAATAATTCAAAGCCATTAGAAAGAAGAATTAACCAATAAAGCAGTAAGAATTTTAACGACAGTGGGGTTCTCAACATCAAAAGTTTAGATCATAAGACAGTGGTCTTCAAAATGTGGGTAAAAATAATTGTCAATATAAAGTTCTATGCTAGTTTCCTATCATGCTTCCTGTTATTTTCACAAAATAAGTTTGTTACTCACACGCCCTATCTTTACAAACTACTAGACAATGTACAATAAGAAAATTGAACCCAGAAGAAACTGAGAATGAGAAACAATTATAACCCAAGAAATATGGTAAACACATAGGCAAATCACAATATAGTTTCAGTATAAGTTTGTTATAATAATTGGTAGGTGGTTGAAAGCAGATTAAAACAAGTGTTATTTATACATATTTTATGAAATCAAAGAAACACTACATAATTGTCAGTATGTGTGCATGTTTATAAATGTCTCTAAAAGTATAAAATCTCAAGTTGATTCATACTTTTATGATGATTTGGCAATCTCTCAGGAAGAGAAATAGTTATAAATTACCTGTAATTTAAATTAATTTACTCATAAGTAGAAAAAAAGTACAACACAAAATAGAGGAGATCCGAAAAATATTAACGTGTTATATCTGAATAATGGATATTTTCTTAACATGTTATGTGGTTATCTGTAATATTCTTTATTATATTATTATATTATATCCTTTATGCTATTCATTATTAAAGTTAAAATTTATGATTGTGTATGTATGTAGAAAAATATAAGGAAATCTCCATATTACAGAAATTATTGTCAACAGTGGAATTGTTCAGGATTCTTTTGTCAATGTCTACTATTCAGAGATCACCTACTCTTATTCTGTCTTATAGAGATGTAGTAATTTGTAGTGATAGTAACTAAATCAGTTGTTGGTTCCAGAGTTGGGTTAACATTGAGAAGAGAGCTCTGGAGTGATTGGGGGGGGGTATTTTATATCTTGCGAGTGGTGTGTGTAAAATGTGCATTTTTTAAAACAGACTGAGGTATGCTTAAAATGTGCATTCCTAGATATGCAGGATATATTATTGAAAATAAAAAAGTAAGGTACAGTATCTTTTTTGAGTGCTTCTTATATGTGGAGAACATAGCAACACTTAATATGTGAGATCTCAGAGCAGTGGGACCACATCAATGACTTTTACAGATTGGCACGTCAGTTGTTATTATTTTTATGTTGAATTCTAGAAACCACAGTGTCTAAACAAGCCCCACAAGGGATAAGAATTCAATTCAAGATTAGGTTTTTCTAAAACTACTTAAAAGAGTTAATTGTGCCCAAGAGTAGAAGCAGATTTTCAGTGTGACATACATTTATTGGAAGTGATTTATCTGCTCTTTAAAGATACTCCATGCCAGCAATTACAGCTCAAATATCCCAAGTTCTTTGATAGTCAGATAATATATTCCTAGGCCTGTTTAAGTTGTGAGAAACATTTAAACTGCTATATCAAAAAAAATAATATTCTTTGCTAAGCCTATGCAAATGCCTTATCTTTAATCTAACAAATGGTTTCTCCTTATCTTCAGCAGGGGCACAAGATGAAGCAAAGGAACAAAGAAATGGAAGTAAATACCAGTCCTCAGCATGGCAGGCCTCCCAGGGGGAGCTGGGAGACAGCAGAACTGCTGTGGAGGAGGGTGGGGGTGGGGGGAAGACATATCCCACAGAAGGACAGGGAATCCTTTGCTCTAATTTCTCCAACTGCATTTTGTTCTTTTTATCAAAGAAAAAAAAAAGAAAAAGAATTTTCCTTTAATTTGGTTGGGCACCCATGTTAATGCATCTTTCAGGTGTTATCCCTGTAATTTTTTGTCTTTGCTCTCACCATTCTGCTGCAGGGTCACAGTGGCACAGTTGACCACTCTCTTGTGCCTCCTGAGCCCTGTCTACATTCTCAGTTATTTCACAGAGCAGGTTCGACAGTGATTTCTTCAAAGAAAGAGAAGACAATTGTTGATAAGCTGTAGGTTAAATTTCACGACTCACCTAGCCCACATTATCCACAGACAATGTAAGCAGCATAGAAAATTGGCAAAACCTTCAGAAATCACCTGAAAAAGTTAGGACAATGAATTGAAAGTATTTTTTCAGGGATGTCCCCGGTATGATTTTGTTCCATGTTAGTGAGGAATACAGAAGCAGAGTGTGGCTTTGACTAGGAAGGGGGTCTCTTTCCTCAAGCCCAGCTGACAGGTGTGGTCTTTGCCACTGACTTTCAGCAGAGCTTACTTAGTTCACGGGATCCTTACTATGTGCCTCAGCCTGAAGCCCACCGTGAGTTGTCACTCTGAGACAGCATTCTAAGGGATGATACATCTCTCATTATTTGAGTTAAGATGGGGCTGACATATTTAGGATCCAAGCATATGCCTATGGCTAGTAAATGTTCTGCTTGAAATCCTACCCCACCCCACTAAAAGAACACCTTGATTTTACCAAGGTTTGATGACCCACAGAACAGATTCTCATTTGAAGTTCGAGGCAATTAAATGTCTTATTTGAAGTCCTGGCTTCCTTGTCTTCTTTTAAATGGCAGCTGGCTCATGCCAAGGCCCAAGACCCTTGTAATGGCTACTTCCCTCTCCTAGAAAACCAATGATTATGGCCTTGAAGGCAGCAGCAGTACTAATAGCCCATGATGCCCGAGGCACAGTGAGCCAGAGGGAAGTCAGACACTGGCACAAACGGCTGTCCCAGGGCCCCCATAAACAACATCCCTCACAAGGCAAGATGCCTGCTTCCCTGTCTCCCTAGGTTGTTAACACAAGTCCATTTCCTGCCCCCCCGTGGAAAAGATACTCTATCTTACCAATATTCCTAATTCCATATTGCTTAAGAGGACTTTAGAATTCTGTTATGCATATATTTTTTCTTAGGAGAGGGAGAAAAATCATTGAATCAAATTGTGTAGTTCTAAAATAAAAGGACATTTTGCTATCTAAATTGTCCATAAAATTCATCAGTTTTGCCCTTCCCTCTGTGGAAAATTTGCCCCCTTATCTTCCCATAAATTTATTTTGGACTTTCTCAATGTATTGCTTTTCTGGATGACTTATTTGGTGTATTGGAATAATTAGTAAGTTTTCTTTCTGCATATGTAGTATGTTTTAAAAATCTCATCTTTTAAGAATCTCATCAAACCTAACAGTAGCAGTATTTAAATGACTGCATGGCTTTGGGACATGACCATTTCTCCTTCTACTGTTATTCTACAACTTGATATGGTGACATATATAGATTCTCTGCTGTCATTAGACCTTGCTTTCTAGAAAAACAAGGAAAAGGCTCATTCTAAATACTCCAAGAAATGATGCTTTATGCATACTGATAATTTCTACATCTCCTATCATCTTTATGATTTAATTGAAAGTCACCATCATTCTTGTGAAATCCTTGACAAGTGCAATCTGTCAGGAACATATTTTCCTGCAACCCCCAAGGTTAATCTGCTCGCGCTCAGTGATAAGTTGTTGTTGGAAAGCAACAGGAGGAAGACGCAGACTGCAGGACTCAGGTCAAAGGGCTTTCACATGCTTCTTGGGGAATCAGGATTGAAATATCATCAAGCCTCATGCTCTCACTATGGCCCAAGAACTCATATGTTCGTGCATGTTAAATGTGGTTGGGGCAGAAATGGGGGGAGAAAATTCTCTACCCCAAAACCAAAGGAAAGGGCAAGTCAATGTTTATAACCAGGAAACTGAGAACATGAGTAGCACTTAGCATCCATCCCATTCCTGAATTTGTTTAAACTTCATTTTATGATTTGATTACATTTTCCTTTTTGCTTTACTATGGGTTTGATTAATATTTGGCTATGAGATTTTATGCTTAAAAATAATTGCTAATTTTCATTTTGAGAGTCAACTATTAAAAATCTAGCTGTGGGCCAGATGGAAGAGCTCAACACAGGAAACTTACTTCACTGGCACTATCATTGCACAGACTGCACAAGGGAAAATTTGAAAAGCTGCTTGATTTTCCTGCGCGTGAATTCTGGATGTCAATTTCTAACCACACTTCAAGTCAGCAGTGTGGTATGAGGGGTTACAAGAGGGAGGGAGGAAAATCAGCCTGAATTAGTCATGTTTGCATATAGAGAGTCGAAGGCGGCTTTCAACATAATAGCTCTAACTAAAAAGGTACTTGTTGTAGGCGACACAAAGAGGCTTTTCCTCTACTTGATAACTATTCAGATGATGGACAAATCTTCTTTCATAAAAACTTACAAAGGAGGCATCCGAAACACTGTCTGTGATACTGGGTCACATATTTGTCACTGCAGCTAATTGTAAATCTTTCTATGAAACACTGAAAAGCCTCTTTGTGAATTAATACAGTTCTGCTTAATGCACTTGATTTGAAATGACATTTCTCTGTATGTGGTGCATGTCGGCTTTGCTTTGAAAAATAACAACGTTAGCAGAATATGTTCAATATATTTTCTCGGGAAATAAGGTTTTTATCATATGATTCATTAAGGATTTGCCTTACCCTGACATTTGTGATATAAAGGAAAAGCAGAAAAAAGAATTTTCTTGACCAAGATACATTTTTACTTAATGCAAATAAATGTAGTCTGTTGCTTGCAAGGGAAAAATGTCTTCTGATAACTGGTATAAACTGCTAAATAGAATAATACGTGCCTCTTTTGTTAAACCAGCATTTAAATGCTGGACTGCTTCTAAATCTGTTTGTTTCTTTTCATCTGTGCCATACACGAAGAAACTTATACAACTGTTGCCTTCATACTATATTTGTTAGAGCAGAATACAAATAAAAACTGTTTGAGAGGATAAACTGGAGTTATCAGTGTTTTATGAAGCTTGTTCTTGACTACCAATAACTCAAAATGTTCGTTTTAACTATATATTTAGTTGTGAATATTCATGTTTAAAATTGTCCCTGGAAGTCAACTCTTCCTCATCAGTATTCTTCCCTTACTCAGACAGACTGGTTTATGTTTTACAAAATCCAACCAAAGAGTAGCCTGTGCAGCTATACACCCCAATGTTTAATTTTTTTTTTAAAGATTTATTTATTTATTCATACAGAACTGGGTTACAGGCCAGAAGTGTGGAGGGTGAGAGGATTCACCAGAGACATAGCGGGGAGCAGAACAGGCAGATCGACGAAGTACACTGCTGAGGGGAGCAGCGGGCGGGTCAGGAGAGGTCTGCCACGCCATGTGGTCACCTCCGGGGCAGGCGGGAATCGAACTCATGCGGAAGTGGCTTTAGCTTCTTAGTGCAGTGTTTTAACCCACTGCACCACCAGGGAGGGCCCCCAATGTTTAATTTTTATTTGAATACTAGACCGCTGATTACTTCAGCAAGAGCCTCTCAGATGCAGCATTCAAGTTGTTGAGATAAAGCCTGTGTTTCAGTGAACAATGGTGTATCCTTTGGAGCCCAACATCCATTCCTGGATTTATTTCCAAGTACAATTTAAGAGCCAATCACTGTGCTGGCTACGTGGTCACAGCAGCCATGGTCCCCTCAGTCTATTGTTGATGGAATTATGACTGAATTATACAATTGCTAGTTTGGCCAAGGAATAACAAAACTCCCAATGGAGAAAACTCAGTGAGTGTTCTTTGCAAATGGGAATCTATACTCCATCAAATTGAATTCCCTCCAGCTTCTACAAAAGAGATGCTATTAGGTTTATTGTACTAGAAGACAATAAAGGACGCCAATCCCTTTATCAAATGAAGCCAGATACTTAATAGTTAAATGAGAATAAGGTTTTTAAAAACTGGTGTGCCAGAGGGGCATTTTCCAGTAAATATGGTTTGATAAGGAAAAACTGTAGACAGGATAGCCTTATGCTGCACTGGGCAACCTCAACACAAATGCTTCAGAGTGACAGTGAAGATAATGTGATGTTATTCGAGCATTGCCAAATGCAGGTTTTTATCTACATCCAGTTTTTCATCTCTAGCTGTCAATCTTATGTTTCTCCTCCAACACATCTGCCCCTTCAACCAAAGATGTCATTAAATGTTATTTAACTCTACTAGGGATTCTGGGGACTAAAAAGAATAATGACACCCACTTAAGTTGCTCTTACCAGAATTATAGCCCAGTTCTGAGGCTTTGAGAAATGAAGTATCCCCACTGGTTTAGAAGCATGAAAATAGCAGTACATTCCTGAACTTTCTTACAAATTTAAATATAGAGAAAGCCCAAGATCGCATACTCTGTCATTCACATTAGTAAAGTTTTAGCAATGGATTCTGCTTCTTGATACTATAGTTGAATAACCTTTCCTTGAGCTCAAGACCCTTCACCAAAAAAAAAAAAAAAAAAAACAGCGCCAAGGCGTAATATGAAATCCTTTTCCACTGAAGTAGATTCAAACTTTGCCCCTAAATTAAGGACCCATGAAGATAAAAGGAAATGCTTGGGTATAATTTGGGGGAAATGGATGATTTTACTTATGAAAACATGTATATACAGATTACTATGTATAAATCTTAAGTAATTATGTTTCTGATAAGAAATAACAAGAGTGAATCTATGAAAAGAGGAGGTGTAATCCTCTCTATCCCTTGGTTAACATGTCTGGAAGGATATAGATTTACAAAAAGATAATTATAGACTTTCCTTTCTGGAAAAGTAGTATACATCTTTTCTCCTCTGAATTGGAACTGACCATGTAACATGCTTTGGACAATACTATGAAATGGCACTGTCATTTCAAGGAGAAGCTAAAAGACTAAAGCTGTTTTAACCTCCCCTCTACCATACTGAGAAGAACATTCTCTATTCATCATAGATTTGCAGTGAAGACCTTGAGTTTCAGACTTAGGGAGCTTTATTCAAGCCTTACTGAGGCAACATGAGTGAGAAACAAACCCATTTTGATATTTAGTTGCTCTTTGTTATCCAACCATGACTTGTCTTCATCAGTAGACATGCCACCGAAACAATTAAATAAAAAGTTCTAGGCCTCCCTGTCTGTGAATCCTCTCATCCACCCAGCCCCCAACACCTCCATCTTGCACCTCTGTTCTTCTATGCAAAAACAAAGTCCAAGAGTCTATATGATCCACCTCTTCAACTGCATCTAAGGCGGTGCAGATAGGCTCACAGACTTCCCAGCATGCCATGTTCTGTTCTCCCAGGATTGACTCAACTGATACTCTTCTCATTCTACTCCAGCTGATACACTGTCATCTTTGAGGTCTCAATTGTACTGTCACTTCCTAGAGAAATCATCCTAATCACCTATTGCAAAGTAAACTTTCCCCCTCAGCTTGTCTTGCCAATCTGAACTCCTATTTGTTACTTCAGAACACATAACGTAATTTTTCAGTATTTTTGTGTTCATAGTTCAGGGATGAAAATTCTTGTCAAAACTCAGATGTGCAAAATAAAGTAGTTCCCTACCCACCACACCACCACCCAATAATTGAGCTTGCATTCTTTCTAAGATGCTATGAACTGATTAGAGGGTATCATGGAGAAGATTTTAATCTTTCAATTTGGGGGGAAAACACTATTAAAGGTTTAAATTCAGCACGGAGGCTACTTCTTGCCACTTTGATTTTTGTGAGCTGGTTTTCTAATCACAGTTCAATAAAATTAATAAAAATAAATTTAAATATTAATATATATTATAACATATTAAAAGTCATTTCCTAAATATGTTATCAAGGAGGATATCAAAATAAATGGTATATTATTTAGTAAATGACAAAATAAAAGCACTACTTATAAAACATGAGGATAAAGTCAAAGATGTGCTTAAAGAAAAATTCAAACTAAAATGGTCGAATTACTAAAAATGGAAAAAAAACAATTTTAAAATCACTCAAATTTAGATTTTTTAGAAAGTCCAGATAAATCTAGAAAAAGTATGCCTAACAACATGTGGTACATTTGTACATATGTAAATTTAAATGCACACATGTATATATTTTATATATACAGAGAACTATGAAATTTTGAAAAGCAGTAAAATGTTAAAATAAATCTTTTGGTTCTTTGAAAATTCATTAAAATAACAAAGTCTTCAACAATTATCATAAACAACTTTGAAAGAATAGCAACAGAAATTTTAAATTTTAGTGAAATTTTATACACAATAATGTACCCAATAAAGTGGTGAATTTCTCTTTTGAGTAAAAGATTTCAAACCTATTGCAGGAACCAGATAATTCTCATAGAACAAATTTCTGGCAGAAATGAGGAAAGCTCCCCAAAAGACTCCCAAACTGTCTGTCCATCTAACAAAATAGCACTTGCAATTTACTAAAAACCTATGAATGATCACAAGTAGTAGTCTTGATTTGGTTTCACTTCATAGCATTTGCGTAGCTAAATCATATGGAGCATTATTTGTGCATATTATATTGTGTTCGTTATTTGTGAACATTATTTTCAATCTGTGCTTTCAGAAGCATTTTTTGCCAGAAGATTTTCCGAAGTTATTTAAAAATATTTTTCATCATCTAGCTCAAATTTATATTATCAGTTCCCTGTTCTCTGTTGACTAGTTTACTTGAAGATTTTCTTTTTTTTAATTGAACTTCCAAGGATTTTTTTTCAAAATGTTTGTCTTCTTCATGGAGTATTTCCAAAAGAGAACTGCCAGGATTCATGAACTCTTGCAATTGTCACCACAGTAATGTGCAAAGCCTTACTGTTAGCAACTGTAATTGCTAGCAATAGAATAGAATAGAAAATTAGAATCTCCATTTTGTATAACCTTTACTAATCATGAGGGTCCTGGAGAGAATGATACTAAGGTGTCAGTGCAAGAACTGTTTTCCATTATTTTAACTAGTGTTCTTCTTCATTCACTAATGAAATTGGATAGATTTCTGTCAACTATTTGTATTTCCTGACTGGAGGATTAATCTGTTCATGTTCTTGAATTATTGGTCAGTTGGGACTATGACTCTTTTGTTGATATTTATGAACTATTTATATAGTGAGACTATTTTCACTGTTTATATAGTGGGACTATTTTCATCATATTTCTTTCATGCAATTTTTACTTATCCTTTGTTTTGTAAATTTTATTATGTTTTTTTTAAAACATATATTCTTCTTATGTTTCTATGCAATCAAATCTCTCCCTTCACACAGACTTTTGTTGCTAATATAATTGACATTTATTGTTTTGGCCTGAAGGGCATTCATTTCCACTTCCTCAGGAATTCCTACTTCCTCTCAGAATAGTGAAAACCTTTTACATGTTTTCTAGAGCTGACCTTCCAACACTTCTCTGTCGAGGGAAGAGACACAGAGCTCAGACAGGCCAGATAATATGATTTTCTAGACCTGTCCTCAGCGATTCATTTAAAGAGGGCTTATGACCCAAAATGGACCCAGGCATGTCCTCCCTGAAACTTAATATGTGGTGACCAGGAAAGTAAAATCCATGTCACAGTGAGCATGGAAACCGGGAGGTTTGGGCAGCTTTTTTTCTGCTTTCATTTAAGGCAATAAATTCCCTTCCTAAAGGTTACTTAGAAAGTCTCCCTAGGTCCCTTAAAGAATAAAAATCCTCAGGTATCCAGAGAGTCCCATATGATACAAATATACACAACACACACACACACTCAAATAATTTAAGCATGTGAGAGCAGCAGGATATAAAAAAACACACACACCATTTCCTCTGCAAATTTATCTCTTTCTATTCTCCTCCATGGACTTCTTGTGCCAGCCATAGTGTATTCCTCAAATATGACAGGTATATTTCTTATAGCTTTAAACAAGCCCCTCTAGAATTCTCTTCCTCTGGATGTACATATAGTTACTTTTCTTACCCACCC